AAACCCCCGACACCAATGAAGAACACAAGACTTTGGTCATTAGGAAACTCATATTTGGTGATAAAATCCTTTCACACTTGGACAGCCTTTTTTTTTTTTTTCCAACTACTTTGTAAATAAATGGAGAGAATATTTTTTGGATACATCGGTCCAAAGTAGAAAAAAAGGTGGCAGATTTTTCTTCTTGCAGTATTAACAGTTCAAGAATTACTTGCATAAATTTCGAATGTGCAAAGTATTTACTTTAGTTCCTTTGAGGTTTCGGACACTTGCGGCATGTGTAGATGCTGATGACTATTTTTGTACTTTCAATTTTATGCAGTTTCACCATAGAAAAAGGAAACTTTCATTGATTCAAAAAAAAAAAAGAGACGATTATGAATTGTGTGAATGTGTTTTTGTGTTAGAATCTGAGAATGATCGTGAATTGTTGAATGCGACTGTGAAAATTAGGAATTGGGAGCGAGAGAGGAGAGAGAGAGAATTTAGGATTGCAAAAATTGCCAACTGGATTTGTTGGAACTGTTTTGTGTGTGTGAGAGAGAAATGCGTATATGATACACTAGAGGACATAATAAGAAATAAAAAAAAAAATAAACTATTGGACTTACTTATAAAAATACAATGTTTTGAGTACTATTAACAAAAGAGATTACATGTGAATCTATTGATAAAAGAGGTCTCTATATTATACTCGATTCTAATTTTTATTTTTTTTAATTATAATTTTGAGTAACAATGTTTTTCAATTATAAAAAACCAACCCGCGGCCCATTCGGTCTAACCCGCCAACAATAGTTGTGACATTCCTACCAACCAAACAAACCCAAACTTCGTTAATCATAATGAAGTGAATTTTATTAAAATTTTACAGTTAAACGTACTTTGACGATAATAGAATTATAATGGATGATTCTCTAAAAATTTCATGTTGCACCTTTAAAATATAATAATAATGATAAAAAAAAAACTCCAATTTACCATTGGAGTAACGACGCGACTTTGCACAGAGATCAAGCACTAGTTTGATAACATAAGGAAAAAATTGAGATGCTGAAAAGGAATTAATACAAAATATTCCTAAATTAAGATATTCAATAAATACCCAAATCTATTATTACATTACGTTGGATCCTTTACTTAAAGTTTGGATACCATCAGTCAAAAATATAAAAGGCTCTTGTTCGTTGAACCTATTACCGTCAGTCAAAAGTAATTAGGTACCATTACTTTTAACCCTTTGGCGCCAATTTCTGCCAGTTGTTACAACGACCTTTTCGCCACCTGACAACACCACCGACAACATGTTCTCAAAGATTAACTCAGACCTACCACTTTCTCGTGGCAAAGAATTCAATTTTTTTCTCCTTAATTTTGGTAATTATAATTATTTAATAGAGTTAGATTTATTTTTCGGTGTTCAAAGCTCGTGAGATTTTTTTGTAGATAATTGTGTAGGGTTGAAGGCAATGTTTCACTTGCCAATTTCTTTGAAATTCAGGCAGAAGGAATAAATTTATTTTTTATGAATTTTTTAATATAAGCGTAAATGATTTAATGTCTGGTTCACATGACGTGTGTATGATGATTTTTCGTAAATTTTGACAAATACAGTATAAGGGTTTCATTGACAGGTCAAATAAAAATAACAAATAGTTTTAATTTAAAAAGGAAAAGACCTGACAGATATGTAATGGATTATTGTTCATTTAAAAAACTCAGGCATCACGTCATCACGCCGTTAACTCTAAATTTAACGCCGTTAATTGTCCTTCCGTCCATCATCACAATAAAGAAAAAGCGACGTGTGAATTCATCGTTATCGCTTTTCTCTCTCTTGAACACTACCTTTGATCATGAAGGTCTTCGTTCGGAGCTTCCTCTGTTTCTTCTTCATCTTCTTCTTCCTTCAAAGGTGCTGATTATATCATAATCACTTCTTGTCATACTTGTCTTGTATGAGTGTCCTGTTACACAAATTGATTTCTTAGAATTGAATTGTCCTATTCTTCACTTTTTTTTGATGAATTTAATGAGTAGCAATCAAACCCTGTTCATGCAGTTTTTTTTGTATTATTTACCCAGTTCAGAAAATCTTTTCTTCAGGGTGTTTATGCTTATTTGTGTTTTTATTAATGCATTTATTACATTTATAAAGCAAAAGATGAGAGACGATTGCCCATTTCAGGGTAATATGTGAAACTCAAGCTGAGAGTGGATCAGAACATGCTAGCTTACCACCAAGAGGTTGGAACTCATTTGATTCCTTCTGCTGGACCATCTCTGAAGAAGAGTTTCTTCAGAATGCAGAACTTGTAGCTCAGCGGTTACATGCTCATGGATATGAGGTCTTTACACATAAGTTATTAGTTTAATCTCACTGGATTGTTTACATTTGCCTTTTTGTGTTCCATAATGAGAGTAGACAAATTCATTAGATATGGGCCTAATTTTTAACTACATTAATTGCCTTTGATTTTCTGTAGTATGTTGTGGTGGATTACCTTTGGTATAGAAGGAAAGTTAAAGGCGCTTACACTGATTCTCTGGGTTTTGATGTAATTGACGAATGGGGGAGGATGATTCCTGATCCAGGTAGATGGCCTTCCTCCAGAGGAGGGAAAGGGTTCACTGAAGTGGCCAGGAAAGTTCATAGCATGGGTTTGAAATTTGGGATTCATGTTATGAGAGGTATAAGCACGCAGGCGGTCAATGCGAATACCCCAATCTTAGACATCACCAAGGTATTCTGCCTCATTACCATATGCAGAAATTCTCTCTCTTTTGTGTAGAAACAGAGTATTGTTCATTCATTGGAGTTCATATGTGGTAAAGAACCAGTATGTAGAAACTTGATGCAAATTCAATGCATTTAGAGTTTGGACTATAGCCTAATTTTTGTTCCTCAATGCAAGTGTGTGGAAGATTAGCATTTTTTACAGCTGTTTCTTTTTGTGTTTTGTTAGGGAAGTGCTTATGAAGAGTCTGGACGCCAATGGCACGCAAAAGATATAGGACTAACAGATAGGCTTTGTACATGGATGCCTCATGGTTTCATGAGTGTAAATACGAAGTTGGGAGCTGGAAGAGCATTTTTGAGGTCCCTCTATCAACAGTATGCCGACTGGGGCGTTGATTTTGGTAATTTAACAGCCTGAGGCTGAAAATAAGTCTCTCTGTTTCTAAGCATTACCGCAGCTCTGTGTTAGCAATAAAATTTGTTAGGATGCACATGCAGATATCAAGTATTAATAAATTTTGGTCATGCTCTGCATTTTATTTTGAATAAGTTAATTTTTTCAATGGCATCTACACTGACTTTATATTGTTTCCACGACTCCCATCCTGGGATATTTAAATGCACTAATAACTAAAATCAATGAACCACCCATGCCTCAACCTTTATTTGAGATCACTAAAGTTTCTACTATTACCAGAGCTGAACGTCAGTTCCTTGTTTCTATTTCTATTAGAGATGGCACTAGAAGACTTGGTGTTTGCAACATTGTGGTAGTGCTCCAAATTTGTGGCCTCGATTAATCACAGATGATTTTTAATATTGGATATTATCTTGGTAGCCAATTTCTATTTGCCTGCTACTAACTGATTGCTGCTTCATTTATCTTCACAGTGAAAAATGACTGTGTATTTGGTGACGATTTGAATATAGATGAGATCAGCTTTGTGTCAGAGGTGCATTTTTTTCAGCTGCAATTTCTGTAAATTCTGCCTTAAATACTCTGTGTGGGATTTATACGCTCACAGCGGACAGCAAAGTACATACCGCTGATATTAAAAGTGCCCTCATGCAGGTCTTGAAGGAAATTAACCGCCCCATCCTTTATTCCCTTTCTCCAGGAACTAGTGTGACACCAACCATGGCAAAGGATGTAAGTGGTCTAGTCAACATGTACAGGATAACTGGGGATGATTGGGATTCATGGGGAGATGTTACAGCCCATTTTGATGTTGCAAGGTAAACAAAGTATTAGCCTCCAGTTCACCTCCCTAATCTTCATTCACTGCTTGTCTTCCTTCTATTTTATTAGTAACTCTGTAAATTTCCAATTCAGAATCCATATTGCTTCTTTTTTTGTTCCTTGTCCATTTTGATGCTTGCTTTTATTTTCTCTATCTCATATAACTACTTAATGCCATATCAGGGACTTTTCTGCTTCTAACATGATAGGAGCTAAGGGGTTGCTGGGGAAGTCGTGGCCCGACTTGGATATGCTACCATTTGGCTGGCTTACTGATCCAGGTGATAAATCTTGGCCCTGCTGTTTGTGCGTCTTATTTGAACTTGACCAATTCACTATGAGGGGTTGGGTAAATGGCGGGGTACTTTACTTGTTATTCATGTTAAAGAGATGCTTATACCTTTTAATTAGCAGAACTAGTGGTAAGATATAAATAGAAAATACTATGCATTAATGAATTGTCTAACCAGTCTGATTTTGGAGGCTGGGTAAGATAGATGAAGCTACTATGCAGGATAAACAATACAGAACTAGGATGGGATGAAGCCAGCAGCTCACTGTAACAAGATGAAGTACTACTAAATGGTTCACACGTAGTTTAGAGAGTGGTAGATGGGTGGATCCTGTAAACTCGTAGTTGGAATACAGAGCTTTGTGGAATAGATCCATTAATTTGTTTAAACAGTGGGAGGAAAGTTATTACTAAGATCACATCCACCAGCTTTTATCCAAATGATTAAAATGTTGATCTAGTGACCTTGAAATCTGAAATAGACTTGGTCAGAAACGTTGTGTTGTATTATTTGGTTTTAGGGATTCAGAAAGGGCAAATGACAAGCCTTTATTAATGGAATATTATTATTTATTAATAGGTTCAAATGAAGGTCCTCACAGATATTGTAATCTTAATTTATTAATAGGTTCAAACGAAGGTCCTCACAGATATTGTAATCTTAATGTAGACGAGCAAAGAAGTCAGGTATGGTAGTATAAGTGCCAGTGAATTTGTTTTTATGGCCTTTTCAACTTCAAGCAACTAAATAAACATTTTACCTGTGGTCCTGACAGATGACTCTGTGGTCCATGGTCAAATCACCTCTCATGTTTGGAGGAGATATGAGAAAGCTTGATGAAATAACATTCAATCTCATCACAAATCCTATTCTACTGGAAATAAATTCCTTCAGCTCAAACAATATGGAGGCAAGAAAATTCATCTACTGATGCATACTTCTTTGGAGGAAAGATAGGCATGACAGCATCATTAAAATTCTACTTGTTCAATGCAGTTTCCTCATATTACTGGTGGAAAGCCTGTTCACCTTAGTAAGCAAGGTGTGCAATCAAACAGTGTAGCAGATGTGAAGGCATCAGAAACACATTTTTTAGGACTTTCTAGCTGCAAGGATTCCAAGTCCAAAGGTTGGTCCATCAAAGCTATAGATGATGATCTTGAACAAGTCTGTTGGGAAGGAAACTCAAGAAGCAAACCTCATGCTCCTTTTTGTTTATACAAGAGAAGACCTCTTTCTGCATCGTAATCTGCTTCACCTTTCCGTGACCATTTCCCATTACTTCTATTGCTATCTATTTGATAAATCTTGATCCGGTGATGATTTTGATGTAGAGATGAAGACACGATGCATACGCTGCAAAATCAAGGGAAATTCCATTTACATGCAACAGACACCATGGAATTCTGTTTGCATGCTTCTCCAAAACAGAAACTTACTTCTAAAGAGTTCAAGAGAGGTTCATTTTCACCTTGCAGATGGGAAGCCAACCAGGTCTATTTAGTCTGAATCGAGGGCCTCATAGCTATAGAATTTTGTCATGCATTTTTTAGAGTTGTTGGTATGGATGAACAAGCTTACATCTGATTAATAGATGATCTACTTTGTCATCTAATCTTAGTGAACATTAGCATAACATGTGGTGAACCCTGTGACTTGGCAATCCTAACTAGTATAATTCTTATCCGCACAAACACATTTCATCTGTAACTTTTTTCTTTTTATTTAATTCTTTAGTCCATTCAAAACCTGATTTTTTTTTTTTCTAAAATCTAAACAGATGTGGGAGTTGAACCATAATGGAACCCTTGTTAACAGTTATTCTGGTCTATGTGCTTCTTTGAATACAATCAAAGGTGACATATTTGAAGCTGAGTTCTTTATTACACAATTAGCTACTGACAACATTTGAATTCTGTATTTTCTAGCTATTGATTGAATTTTCATGCAGCTAATGCTGGTTCTGGGGGGATTCGCTCTTGGATTGCAACCGGAAGGAAAGGTTTGATTTCCCAACCATCGTGATTACTTCGACTTAAAAGAATGTCATGAACTTGGACATGTTCTACAACCACTTTTGTTTTGTTTTCCTTCTCTTTGGAGTCCTGAGGAGATTTTGAACCCTAGGGTGATTATAGTTGATCATGATAAAGATTTGTTATAAGTGACGTGGCAAAGTTGTGGTTTTTACTAACCACTAAAGAGAGATGAGGTAGCATATCTAGATTCTACACGACCCTTGTCTTTTGAGAAGAAATATCCATGAAAGTTAATGGTTTGTTAACCCAAAACTAGACATTTATTTAGTTTGTATATTGTTAGTGAGGTTTGTCATACTTTAGATTACTTCAAATAAGCAACGGGTTATTAGATCAATGCACCAAGTTAACTCTCCTTGAGCTATCCGCTTTCCTCTTTGAAGAAGTTATTTCGCAAAGCTACTTCTGTCATATGTTTAGCTGGTCTTTTCCATATCTAATATTAGCCTTTGGATAGACGAAGTAGCATGTCGCCCAGTATACCTAAACCTTATTTGTTATTACTACTCGGTTTCAATATAACTATTGCTGTGTCTGTTTTTCAGGAGAAATATATCTTGCATTTTTCAATCTGAATTCTGAAAAGAATGTCATTACAGCCAAGGTGTCGGATCTTGCTACTGTACTTCCAGGCAAAATTTTGAATGATGCTTCTTGCACAGGAACCGAAGTCTGGAGTGGGAAAAACTATGGACTAATAAAAGAATCAGTGTCAATAGCAGTAGAAGTGCATGAGTGTGCATTACTCATCTTGAATTGCAATTAGTGATTAACAAATTGTATCCTTTTGCTACCCAAATATATAGACTATGTATGTTGAATTAGCTAATTCCACTCCGGATGTTGTAATGCATCAGCCATTTTTTTGGCGTAATGGAAGGGAACATTGATGGGTTGCTGTCTTTTATCTATTTTGTGTCTATATGTGATAGCCCCGGTGTATTTTTAACGGCAAGATTATTTTATTGCGACCGACTTGAGTAGTACACGTTTGAATTAAGAAAGGTCTTTTTGCACACGGGATAAGGTTACAATTTTCGTTCATTGCGGGTCCCTATTTTTTGGTACTATTAGGTTTGTACAATGCCATTATTTGTGGGATCTAAAATGTGTGAATGCGTGTACAAATGGGTTTTCCTGATGTGGGTCAAATGGTCGTGGCTTCTATAAGAAATCAGCTTCATTGTACATGGAATCAATTGTTTGATGGATGGGTTACAGTTGGCATTACCAATAAGTTGTATGTAACTAATTGTTGGAAATAATGATGTTTAAATAAATAATTTTGATGTTTATATATTTAAAATCATTAAGTATTGAATAAAAAATTATTAAAGTATTTTTAAAATAAAGACTTTTTTAGGAGGTTATTTTTGAAAAATTCTTTGTGATTTTTGGGAGAAATTGAAAATGTGTGAAGTAAATAAAATATGAAAGGCTCTTAGTTCAAAATTTGTAACTTTTGGTTAAAGACACCAATTCAAGGTTGCATCTTTTTTATAAAATCATGTTAACACCTTCTAGTTAAAAGACACTATGACAAATAGTCACAATTTTTTATTAAAGTCACATTTAATATGTTTTGATTAAAAGATGCCATTTTAAAATAATTGTTCTTTTTCATAAAATCGCTATTAATATCCTTTGAATCAAAAGACAATATTAAATATGGTTGTACTTTTTATGAAAAGCCACTATTGAATCTATAAATAGATGATGTATTACACTTTCAAATCATATCATTGAACAATTCTTATTTTTTACCAGAATTGCTCTCTCATTCTATCTTTTCCGATTATCCTAAATTTGGAGTTATGTATTGAGTCTTTCTTCTCTCTCTCTCTCTCTATACATATTATATTGAATTGTTATTCTTGTTCGATTCAAGCATAAACATAAAATTGTGTTCGTTAGAGTTCTAAAGATTGAAGTTTTGCTTCTTCAAATATGCAAATTCATTATATATTGGAAGACAATTGTTTATCAACCTTAACCACTAAGAGGGAGCAAATATATTTTAAGGAAAGTATAATTATACAGGTTCGGATTATTTCTAGTTTTTTAGATTATTATCTTATTTATTGATGTTCTATGTTACTATAAGTGCATTACTACTTCTATTTTAACATTCTGTTTTATTAAATAGTTTGTATATATAGTATATTTAATAGATTTAAATTTTACTACAATAATTTTTTATTTTTACTTATATATATACATATTGGGATAGAGAGGGATAGGGGGGAAAGGGTTTAAATATTTGGCTTCAAGAAGACAAAATCTTTACATGGTAATAAGTACATTTACTACAGTAATTAGTTCCTTAATTTGATTATGTATATATATATATATATATATATATATATATATATATATATATATATATATATATTGTCTTGGTGGTCATTCACCATGAGGGTTTCTTTTATATATAATTAGGGGTAATTCGTACTTGAATGTAAAATGTAATGTAAATGATTTTAAGAGGGATGTTGGTGGCCGTTGGATGAGTCTATTTAAGACCTTATGATAAACTTATTAAAGTTTGTTCTATTTTATATTATGGATTATAGATGGGGTTGTTTGGTTTATGGGCTTAAGGTGGATTAGTGAGTGGGGTTGAGAAAAAATAGTCTAGAGTCTATATAACTAATGTTTGATTTATTTTTAAGAAAAGGGATTAAATAACTGGGCTATTCCCAACCCAATATGAATATTAAATTTTACCCAATATATCTGGGTTTCATTCAATAAACCCACCAGTGGATGAGTTTCAAAGTGGTTCATTGGGATTACGATTTAAATTATTTGAATAAAAATTGAGTTGTATGAAAGGCATTAAAGTCAAAAGACAATCCACATTGTGGGGTCCACATTTTTTCTATTCCAATCCAATAGGTTCTGATGGGTTAAGCTCAAATAGTCCAATTTATGTGTTAAAGTCCAACCCCGGTTGAGGAGCCCAACCTCATTGTGAATCCACCAAGTCCAAGACAGTCCAAGGCCGGTTAGACTTCTTGCTTAGCACGTCACCAAGAGGCCACCAAGATCAAGACGGTCCAAGGCCGGTTAGACTTCTTGCTTAGCACGTCACCAAGAGACCACCAAGACCAAGACGGTCCAAGGCCGGTTAGACTTCTTGCTTAGCACGTCACCAAGAGGAGAGCACGGGAAGTTTATCTACACCGCCAAAGGAAACAGCCCAAGGCCGGTAAGACTTCTTGCTTAGCACGTCACCAAGAGGAAAGCACGGGAAGTTTATCCACACCACCGAAGGAAGAAAACGGTCCAATCATTGACCACGTTTCATGAAGAGCTCCCCAACCTCTTCCTTCCGTTGAGGATAAGTCGTGATCTCTACCAAAGATAATCTCTAAGCTGCGATAAAGAAGCCTTGAGGATATGTCATGATCTCCACAAGAATGATCTCTTAGCTGCTATAAAATAGCTCCAATCTGGTAGAGAGAAAAAAGATCATGCTCCATCAGAGACTTACAGAAGACGAAACGACTATCGGTGATTACTATTTTCTTTAATTCTCCATTCTCCTTCTCAAAGCTTGTATCTCCATTCTCCATACCTTTGAATCAATAAAAATACCCGACGACTGAAGCCATTGAAGAGTGGACGTAGGTCGAATTGACCGAACCACTATAAATTGTGTCTTCTTTAATTTCTTCGTGGATTTCATTGCATTTATTACCTATACTTGACAGGTGGTGTTTAAAATCATTTTTGTGCATCATCAGTTTGGCGCCGTCTGTGGGAATCGACAAAATTCTCACTCCTGAACATTACGTCCATTAATTAATGGCGATCACTACTCGATCCATGAACCAACACGAAGACAATCCTCCACGAGAGGAGGAGGTTGTTCCCCCGCCTACCAACCCTGTTCCAGATACTTTGGCCCCGAATCCCCAACAAATATTGGAGACCATGCAGCAACTGGTTGCTCAAAACCAACAGTTACTGCAACTCATACTTGCTGGACAAGGAGGAGCACCACACGGAGGTGCACAACATGGAGGACCCCAAGGTGGAGCACCACACGGAGGTGCACAACGTGGAGCACCACATGGAGGTGCACAACATGGAGGACCCCACAGAGGTGCACAACATAGAGCACCCCAAGGAGCTCCACATCCTGAACATCAAGGAGCACCACGCCCTGTTGCTCCACGCCCAGGTGCCCCATTGGGCACCCCACTTCAGGAAGCCCAACATGAGGGAGTTGCACCTCCCCCTCCCCTTGCTTTCCACGGAGATGACCCTTATCTCCAGGAGGATGAGGGTGAAAACCAAAGCATGGGGCATGGAAGCCACTTCCATGATCATTCCAGAGGAGCCCCCAATCATTGGGACGAGAAGATAAAGGAGGTACAAAATCAACTCGGTGATGTCTTCAACGCCATGAAGGCACAGGGACCCGAGACTGTTGACCACCTGGTAAGGCGTACTGATACCCCTTTCAAATCTGATGTAGCAAACTACCCCCTCCCTCAGAAGTTCAAAATGCCATCTGTGGAGACCTTTGATGGAACAAAGGATCCACTGGACCACCTCGACACTTACAAGACCTTGATGCAATTGCACAACGTACCAGACGAAATCATGTGCAAGGCGTTCCCAACCACATTAAAGGGGTCTGCCCGACAGTGGTTTGCTAAGCTCTCCCCTGCCTCTATTACCTCTTTTGCCGAGCTTAGCAGATCATTCGTCTCACACATCATAGGAGGGCGTCGCCACCAGAAGCCAGTTACGCACCTGCTTCGTATAAAGCAGGACCGCGAGGAGAGCCTGAGGAGTTACCTCACTCGTTTTAACGAGGAGGTACTCCAAGTTGATGAACCCGACGACAAGGTGACGATGACCGCCTTCTTGGGTGGCCTCCGTTCATCAAGTTTCCTTTTCTCGGTTCTGAAGCGCCCATCGAAGAACATGCCAGAACTATTCACAAAAGCTCAAAGATATATGAATGCTGAGGAAATCAACAAGTTTAGGCAAGGTGAATCATCTCACAGATCACCAGAAACTTGACCTGCCTCTGCACTGTTCTCAAACAGGCAGTCTATCTCCGGCTTAGCGGCTCTCTCACGGGTCGCCAAGAAACTTAGCCTCTGTACTGTTCTCAAACAGGCAGTCTATCTCCAGTTTAGCGGCTCTCTCACGGGTCGCCAAAAAACTTGGCCTCTGCACTGTTCTCAAACAGGCAGCCTATCTCCAGTTTAACGGCTCTCTCACGGGTCGCCAAAAAACTTGACCTCTGCACTGTTCTCAAACAGGCAGTCTATCTCCAGTTTAGCGGCTCTCTCACGGGTCACCAAAAAAAAAAAAAAAAAAAAAACTTAGCCTCTGCACAGTTCTCAAACAGGCAGCCTATCTCCAGCTTAGCGGCTCTCTCACGGGTCACCAAAAAAAAAAAAAAACTTGGCCTCTATATTGTCAGGCAGTATACCTCAAGCTTAAAGGCTCCCTCATGGGTCGCCAAAAACTAGGTCTCAAAAAATGTAGCTCTCTCACGAGTAGTTCTCCAACTCTGTCTTTGCTCTTGCGCAAGCAGCCTACTTTTCTCTCTCTAGGTAATTATGTGAGATTTTAATGTTTGGAATAACATTATTTTTGTCATCACAAGCAGGCTCTCCCGAGATAGCCCCAGGCTCACCCAAGGCGCCCCAGCACCTAAAGAAGGGCTTGATCATCAAGAGCAGCACCCAAAGCTTCCTTACTACTTGCAATGTCTAGCCCAGCGCCTAGAAGTGTGCCTGACTGCTGTTGTTCGTCAAAACAAAGTTGCCCAGTAGCTTGAAGGGTGTCTGGCCTTCAAAATTGGGCAAAGCAGAATTTTCGGCGCAAAAATCAGAACCTAAGGGGCCCAAATCAGCGCCTTGAGTGAGAATCGGATTAGCCCGTGCTCCCAGGCCACTGCCTAGCTCTCCCT